CCCCAAAACCCCAAAACCCCAAAACCCCAAGGGATAGGATAACTGTTGATCTGTTTTGCTTAAAATGATTAATAAGATTTTAAATAAAAAGGATTAAACAGATAGTAAATAGTACTTTAAATAATAAATTTAAATAAAGAGAACTTCTCATTAACAATCAATTAATAATGTCAGCCACGCTTTTCAGTCAAGGAGCCATAGTAATCATGCTTGTACTACTGTTCTACATGTTTGTGGGATCAGTACTAGAAAAATATCATTGTAAAATAGGCCATGAAGCAGGATTGGTGATCATTTTCGGAATGCTGCTTTCATTTTTGACATTTCAAACAGGCCATGAAGATTTCAATAAGCTAGTGACCTTCGATGACAACTTATTCTTTTATTTCTGTCTTCCACCCATCGTGTTCGCCTCAGGATACAATATGAAGAGAAGGATGTTCTTTAGGAACTTTACTAATATTCTCCTATTCGGACTATTCGGTACTCTAATTACTTTCTCTGCATTTTCCATTATGACCTACATTGTTTGCGAATTTGATATATTATGGAAATATAATGGTCATACCGGGTAAGATTTAATACCGTTTAACTTATAAATTTGTATAGAGAGTATGAGCAATTCACTCTTTCTATCATGGAGATTTTATTGATGTGCTCATTGTTGTGTTGCACTGATGTAGTAGCTGCTATATCAATCATAAAGTATGATGAACAGCCAAAGCTATTCAGTCTTGTGTTCGGTGAGGGTATCACCAATGATGCAGTGTGCATTATTTTATTTAACACCGTTATGGAGTACGCAGGACCTAACAGCGAATTTACTACCTCAACGCCATTTAAGATTGTTGGAAGTTTTATAAATTTGAGTTTCTTTTCTATACTAGTGGGTATAGTAACCGGCATTATTAGCTCTATTGTGACTAAGAATTTCAGATTTTTGACTGTTAAGCCAGTAGTTGAATGCACACTAATTTTTAGTTTTGGGTATCTTTCTTATTGTGTAGCAGAACTCTTCCATTTTTCAGGAATTATTTCACTTTTAGCCTCCTCAATCCTAATGGCTAAGTACTCTTGGTACAATCTTTCGCCTCAATCAAAGCAAGTTACATCAATTGCCTTTAATGTGATCGGATATGCTGTTGAAGCCTTTGTATTTGGATATCTTGGTCTAACTTTCTTCTCATATGTTGCTTATGAATGGTCTTGGTAGTTGTTTATTGCAGAGCTTATAATCGTTATCTCTGGTAGATTTATGGGAACTATTGGAATCATAAAATTCCTAGAAATGTTCGGCTATAAATCAGGGATCAGATTTAAGGATTTAATATTTATATCCTACGCTGGAATGATTAGAGGAGCCGTAGCATTCGGTCTTGTACTTAGAATTAATCACGAAGTTGCTAACAGATCAGTTATTGTTACCACTTCACTAGCTTTAGTCGTGTTTACAACAGTCGTAATGGGATCTACAGTAGCTACTGTCTAATATTGTCTTTTTGGAAAAGAAATGGCAGAGGCTGCAAAAGCTGCAAAGGAAGGCAAGCCTCATTTGGCTCATGACGAAAGTCATCACGAAATTGTAGAGCATCCCAATGTTGAAGATGTGAATGGTGAGGGAGCAACTCCAGCTGCAGGTGATCAGCCTAAAAAGAAGCAAGGATGTGCTTAAATCATGAGAAGATTAGATCTTATGATCATTAAGCCTCTTCTTATCTATAACTATGAAAAAGGTACACATAAGAAGCAAAAGATATTCAATGAGCTTTTAATGCTTGAAGGAGAAAAACTAGAGGAAATCTTCACCAATAAAGAGAATGAAAATAAGGATATTAGAAAATCCTAACTTTTGGAGTACCTTAATGCCAAGCAAAGAAAAAGTGAGGTCGGAAACAGAAGTTTCAATAGAGACGATCCCGAAAAGTCAGAAAGACTAGACAGTGATAGGTCAGGTCAAATTGAAATGTAAGCAAAGCCCACCTCCATTAAAGGTCTCGATGTTCCATATCAAAGTCTTTACAAGGAGACACCGAAACAAGACGGAGCTTCCTACCCTCTTTTAGATATCAAAAATAATCCTTATTGAAGCTGATTATGATAGTTAGTCTTAGAATTTTTTTCTATAAATTTATATTCATTTATCATTTTTATCAATATATTAAGGAGATGGGGTTTTGGGGTTTTGGGGTTTTGGGG